AGATCCTAGATATTCCGTCTCCCTCCTCCAAAACTCCTTAGACCAACTTGAAACCTGGTGCAACAGGTGGAAAGTCAAAATTAATCCCAACAAAATTTTGGCTATCCTTTTTACCAAACGAAAAATCCCACAAAACCTCGACAGACTGACACTATACCAGGAACCCATCTCCTAGAATAGACAAACACGATACCTGGGCGTGACGATGGACCAGCGTCTCACGTGGAAACCGCACATCGTAGAGACGGTGGCGCGAGCGAAGACCACCAGGGCTAGGCTCTATCCCTTACTCAAAGGTGGAAACACCCTCAGTTTAAGGAATAAGCGAACGCTTATCAAGGTGGTACTTCAACCGCAGCTAACCTACGCCTCCACGGCGTGGGGTCACGCGGCAAAAAGCCACTTAAAGTCATTACAGGCTGTGGAAAACATAGCCCTCCGCACGGCCACCGACGCGCCCTGGTACGTAAGAAACACTGACATATTACGAGACTTACAATACACAAACGCTACACAGACAATAAGACAAAACGCGGAGAAACGATTTGACGTAGCCGCTAGACATGACAATCCCCTCCTCAGGCAAGCCGTTGACTACGTACCCGACGTGACCGACAAACACAAAAGACCTAGACACCAACTTTTTGACCCTGGGTGACCACCCCAATGACCCCCCCCCTGCCCGCTAACCTTTTCTGTTTCAGAGACAGCCAGGATCAAGAAACGAAGACAACGACACACACACACACACACACACACCCCCCATACCCTCCTTACCCCTCCCCTCCCGCGCTAGCCTAAGGGCCACCTTAGCAAAGCGCATCCCAGGCTGCATAGCCGCACTACCCTACCCAACCATACCACACATAAACATGACACTACCCCCGGGGTTTACACAGACGAGCCGGCGAAGCAAGAAGAGCGCCAGAAGAAAGGGCCCTAGCCGGCGGGGCCCAGCCAGGACAAAAGGAGGTCCCACAAAGCGCCTACACCGGCCGCATTTGCGGTCGGGGTAGACGACGGATGGGGCCCACCTACGAAGGCTGTCCAGGCCTACACGAGATGAGGCAGGATAAAGAGGGATAATCCCCCTCGATCCCAAATCATTGAGGCCAATTTCTATCCATGGAATAATGGCGCGTATGCTTAAGCCGGGGATTAGGTCGGTGGTTAAGAGGAAAGAAAGGGATTCTTTCCAGGTAGCCTTAATAAAGGCAGGTAGATCTTGCTCGTTGCAATGCACTTCACTTCACAATAACCACGTCCGCTCAGTTCGGCCGTTCGCTCGAGAATGGAATGGTTCTTCTAGCCACGGAATAATGGCGCGGCGCGCGCGGCGGCTCAGTGAGCCGAATCAGTCATGTTCCGCCCATCTCTAAATGGCGCGGCTTCTCGCCCGTTCGCCGAATTCGGTGCGAACTTGCGAACTGAACTGACTTATATCGAACACTGAACACAACTGGCGTTCTCAAAATATAAATTGAACATGAAAGTTATATACAGTGCGCACTCGGTGCAAAAATACACATAAATCGAAATCAATTTAAATTTTCTATGTTCGGACGTGACAAAATACAAATACAAAACTATCACCTAAAATTTCTTAACCTCACAATTTAGAAAATTATATTTGAATATTTGAAATTGTGTTATAGTTATTTAGATCATTAATTGGACAATAATCAAGTGGTTTCTAGGTGAAAAACAAATGATAAGGTAATATCATATACCATTATCTCTAGTCTTTGGCCACATAATATATATTATATGTACATATATATAAATATATATTACCTACCAAATTAAGTAGAATATTTTATCGCAGTGCAGTCACAGTGACCAACTGCCTGTTAAAAGTCGTGCAAATATATTTTTCAGAGAAAATTTTCAGTAGTATTAAATCTTTAAAATATATTTTAGTCTTATGAAGACAAAAAGCATCCCTATGATTATGTATCGCCAAGGAACTCGGACTAAATTTTTGACACAACATACTACGACATTTAATTAAATTAGCATAACTTCATCTAATTAGTGAAACTAAATAGTTCTGCTTTTTTTAATATGATTGGGTAATGTTTTACATTTGCCACTTTTTAGATGCGAGCCAGTTGTGTGGTCTGGGCTGCAATGTAATGCAGACCCATAATGAGAATTTGGAAGCATCCCATTGGATGTCAAAGCACCTTAGGTGAAATTTAAAATCAAGAGATTTTTAAGTAGCTCAAAATAAGAAAAAAGAAATATGTTTTATATACAGGGTGTTTGGTAAGTCGATGCATTCCTTGCAGGAGGTTATAGTACAAGTGATTTGAGATACATTTCCTTAATATACCATATTCCGAAAACGGTTAGTTTCAAATCTACAGGGTGTTAAAGTTTTAATAAAAAAATGCAAATTTAAAAATATTGCGGAAACTGCTCAGAATATTATAATGAAATTTTACAGGCTTTGATAGTTAACAACAATACATGTTTCACAATAAAAATATTGTTTGTTTTCAGTTTCACCAGTGGCGTGCTCACAGGCACGTCTGGATATTTTTTAAGAAAAAAATGATACGCCACTGATTTTTTTAAAATAAAAATTATTTTTGAATTCCTTGTTCAATTTGGAAGAGAAAATGTGTCTTGTCTGCTTTTCTTATGACGCACCGAGTAAAAAATTTAAAATCGATTTATCGCATTGCGTAATCCAGTTTCAATAATTTGAAAAATAGAAATTATGCACTTAGTTTTTTTTGTACCTACCAATTTTATTACAGCACGTTTTTACTAAAGTGATAGCTATTATTAATTTTGTCAAACTAACAAAAATTAGTGCACAGCCAATCTGCTAATTTCTGTTTAATATAGTGAATAGTGAATCTAAAAACTGATAAATTTTTTTTGACTGATGTTAACTGTGAGGAGTAATAATTTTTAGTAATAAAATTGGTAGGGAAAAAAGATGAGTGCACAATTTCTGCTGTTTTTCAAATTATTGAAACCGTATTACGCAATGTAATAAATCAATTTTAAAACGGTGTGTCATAAGAAAAACAGTCGAGGTACTTTTTCTCTTCCAAATTGAACAAGGATTTCAAAAATAATTTTTATTTTAATAAAAATCAGTGGCATAGCATTTTTTTCTTTAAAAATATCCAGAGACGTGCCTATGCGCACGCCACTGGTGAAACTGAAAATAATATTTTTATCGTAAAACACATTAAAATATTCTGAGCGGTTTCAGCAATATTTTTAAATTTGCGTATTTTTATTAAAACTTTAACACCCTGTAGATCGGAAACTAAACGTTTTCGGAATGTGATATATTAAGGAAATATATCACAAATCATTTGTACTATAACCTCTTTCAAGGAATGCATCGATTTACCAAACACCCTGTATAACCAGGCTTTACTGAAAATAAGGTTTATTCTTTGCCCGTAGATCGGAGAAAATAAAATATTAATATATAT